AAGAACCCTTCGGGAAGCTTTCGGGAAAAGATCTCTACTGCATATTCTCAATGTATCACAACCGTTCGTTTCCTCTGCAGGTTGAGACGCACCCAGATGCGAGCTTGAGGTACGCGCATCCACAAGGTTGGAAGGTGCTAGCGATTTCGCTTTTTTCGTTTTTGCAGCAACTGAAGTCGCGGCAACCTTGGCAGAATTACCTTTTCATGTGCCGCAATGGCCAGGAAGGTCCCGTGCTGCAGGGCTTACCCGTGAAGTGGTCGGGGGAGTTCTTGGGTTGCAGCTAACGAGCGTGTATGCAACATGGCAACATCATGCCAGGTTGTGGCTTATGCTGGGATAAAAGTTGGTTACAAGGCATGCAAGATGACTGCTACAGGGATGCATTCTCCGTTCCCTAAGGTTCTATGCAAGACGGCTTCGGGATGAACGCTTGCGATGCGGAAGGGATTTTTTCGGTATAGGATTCGCTTATCGCGTCTGCATAGAACACTGCCAGGGTTCAGGAGGTTTCAAGATCAGATATTGCAATAAGAGGCTTTGGGGGGACCCATGTAACGAAAAACTACGATTACGAGTCATCTCTCCAACTATTTCGGCGCAAGCTAATTTCTAGGGGCACTGGGTACACCTAGGATGCAAGTTAATTGCGTTCTGGGAGAGCCTGCAGAAACACTGAATCCGCAAGTTACTGATCCGCTGGGAATTATCAGTATTGGAATGGTCCTTAGCATTCTCTGCTTATTCTAGCTTCTAGCAGTAGTTTGAGTATTATTTGATGAGTACGGGTAGTATCAACATCAGCAGTATCAGTATCCGTGCCAAAGACTAACATTTGCATTCGTATTGATAGTAGTATGTGTATGACAGTTTGAGTATTCGTACTGGCGTTGGCAGTAGTTTCTGACAGTCGGACACATGGTATGCTCAGCATATGTGCGCCGTGTGTTTTCAACACGTGCCTTGCGGTCGTGCAGAGGTGGGGGGGGGGGGGGGGGCGGCGGATGGAATTTGACGATTGGCGGGGTCGGCCGCTGGTTCTGCCATTACACGATGCCATAAACTTTCCAGGAAGATTTTAACCCATGCCACCTCTCGCCTGCCACCACCCTGCTGTGCAATCGAGGGTCCGGATGCGCACAGCTCAAACTTTGTGCCATCGAAGTTGAGGCAGTGAGGTTACGAGCGTTGCATGGCGAAGCGTGCGCTTTTTGTCGAATGAAGCACAGCTGAATTACGGTCTCTCTCGACTGACGTGGAAATCGTCCGTGCTGATTTCGGCCCGATCTTTGAGTTGCTTCCGGTACTTCCTTGCGCAGATGGCCCCGAAGCTGTTTCGAGGGGATGCTCGGTGTGCTCGGGCCCAGAGCCTGGTTTGCCTGGGCAAGAAGCTGCCCAAGATAGCTTGTGCAGCCGCGTTCATTCTCCTCGCCTGCAGTGTCTCTCTAGCCTTGGGTCCGGAGCCTGCATTCGATCGTAAACCGGGAATGACATGTGCAATCTGCAAGGGCCGGCCCCTCTTGGGATTGCGAAGTTTCTCCGGGCTGCTGGCTGGGCTTTCGATCGTCATGCTGCTGCTGAAGTACCGAGTGATTCCCAAGATCATTCCTCCGGATCAGTTCGAGTCAGGCTTTAGCTTGGGCAAGTACTACGGCTTTGCTGCGCAAGTCCTCTACCACTGTGCGTTGGTAGCATGCTTCCTCGCCGTGGGCTGGAACCGTTCTCCTGGTCTCTACCACATGGCGACCTTGGCGGAACCGGCGTACTGCACCCTGGACATCCTTCTCTTATTCTTCACAGGGGTGTCATTCACTCATTGGCAGGCAGGCTGGGCCACGCGCTGGGCAAAGCTTGGGCTTCAGGGGCTGGTCTTGGGGCTTTGCAAGGTTTAGGGTTTGTCGGGGTTCTAGGCTTTCTGGGTTCAGGGGTTGAAAGCGAGAACCTGCCAGGCAGTCCCGCTACTGGTGCATCACACCATCTCTTGTGCCTGCACGCATGCGCTGATGTACGGCCTCCCTGACTCCATCTTCGGCATCCTCCTTCAACTCGACTTCCATGCCTCCAGCGCTGTGTGCCTGGGCATTGCCAATGCACTTCTGACCCCTCGCCTCAATCTCACTGCTCGGCAGAGGTTGTCTATGCAAACGGTGGCGATGGGGATTTGGGCTTTGACACGCGTTTGCCTGGTCTTGGTGCTAGGCTTCTTCCTGCTGGCAGAGGCTGCCCATCTTACGGAACGTGCCGTCCGAGCGGTGGTTATTGTGGAGCTGAGCCTGGCAGCGATGGGGTCGTTTGCTTTTGTCATCATCAAGACTCCCTTGCTGACATCCGGCTTGCAGGAGGCCTTGCGAGAGTACCGAGAATGCCTCTACACAGAGGGTGTGGTGGCCGTGTGCGACGGCTTGGAGGCTGGCTGGGCGAGCACGCCGGCACTCCGCCGACTTGGGGCGTGAAGCCCATTGAACTCGCAGCTGTTTTGCCCACCTGTGGCAGTCTTCATGCAGCGAGCCCTTGCGCAGGTGCGGCGCAGGACATCTTGCGCAGCGCAATTCAATTTGTGACCGGTAGAGATCTTCTGAGCGACAAGTTGAGCCGGGGTCAGGACCTGGGACCAAGAAATGAATTGTATGGCTGGGTCCGGATGCCCTCAACGAAAGCAGTTGCCGTGGCTTTTTGGTATGCCGGGGCGCCTTCTGATGTAGACAGGCTGCCTAGCTACACAGCAGCTACACTGTACAGCACGAAGATCTGCTAAGGACCATGGTCTGCTGGTCAGTGCCAGAAACAGCATCGAGTCCATGCCCGCACAGACCCGACTTGTCCGCTTGAGCTTCAGCTTCACCCGTCGGTCCAGCACACAGCATGAGTGAAGCACACAGCATGACAGCCAGCTCAAGGGCAAGGATGCCATCACCAGCTACCTTAGCTACATGAACACTGTTCGTCTTGTTCCCAGAGTGGTGCAATGGCGGTTAGATCTCTTCGCGTAGCCTCGGCGTGCCCTTGCAGCTCGATGCAGTTTGAACATGCAGTGCACAAAGTCGTCTGCAGCGGTGCAGGTACCGGGACTTCTGCCGAGCTGTGCAAACGACCTTTGCGAACGACGCCTCTGCGCAGCGACAGTTGAGGCCGGAAGTTCCCAAGCTTCACATCCCCCTCTCTCGCTTGCTCTCTCCTCTGCTCTCTCCTCTGCTCTCTCCCTGCCTCTGCTGGCCTCAGGGCGGAGACCGCCCGGATGCTTCGCAAGCATGCGACCTCGATGTCCGAGGATCTTCTGGCCGGGAGTCTCGAGCTTTCAGGGTTTCGCGTTCCGCGTCCGAGATCGTTCCTGAACTTTCTAGGCGCAATCTGGGCCCTGTTTGCAAGGGCCCTTGTCTTCTTTTGCGGCTTGCATCCCTAGGAGTTTCCCTAAGTGAGTTGTCAGTTTAGCGCGTGCAGTTTGTGCTCACTTCGTGGTGGTGCAGCCACCTGCCCGGAGCAGGTCGACGACTTGAAGTCGGGCACGGACATGATTCGCTACGAAATCGTTCAGGCCCAGATTGGGCCATGTCGTCCGCGTCGCCGCGCATCCTTGTAGCAAGAGGCATCCCTGAACCCCGAGACAAGCAACTACCGAGCACATGTCAACCAGGACTGTCGGGTGGGCTTGCTGCATCCACACCAAACTGCCCTGAGCCGCTTCGGAGAGTCTCTGTCAAAGGACCACCTCTCCCGCGGTGATGTGCCCCGTTCTGTCTTTGAGCGGGGAATCTGGCTGCAACGTCGTCGTTCAGGTACTTAACCTCCTGACGCCGGAAGAGGCCTTGCGAAAGAAGTCATGAGGCTCGACGCGCCTCCGCAATGGTTTGTCGAAGAAAGGTCTGGTGTGCCCATGCTTTCTGTCATTTGCCGTTGTTTTCTTGTTTTCTCCCTGTTTTGCTTTGTGTGCCTGCAGCCTGCAGTCCACTGCTTTCGGGTTAAGGCTTTGTTTCCCGATGACAGAAACACCATTAGCACTCCGAGCAAATAAAACTCGCAATGCAAAATTCAGAAAAAAAACGTGACAACAGAAATCATTCTTGATTCGAAAGGCCAACGTCTCGATGCATAAAAAACAATATACACACACACATACACATACATACATGCGTGCATGCATGCATGCATACATACATACATACATACAAGGATATGTATGTCTGTCTATCTATCTATCCAAGCTCTATCTATCTATCTATCTATCTGTCTGTCTAAGCTATCTATCTATCTATCTATCTATCCATTCAGATGCAAATACACACCTGCACACATGCAGGCATAGGGCATACAAAAACCCTACGAGGACTTGTTGGCCGTTAAAACCTTGAACCGAAAGAGCAGATTCTGAGTGGAAAAGCCAAAACCCGAAAAGGCCATGCTTGCCCTGCAATCCCTCTGAAGGGAATGTTTAGGTGTCAAATCTTGGAGCTCAACCCGGGGATGTTGTTGGCTGGCGTGAGAACCAGGCGGCAATGCTAGTGTTGGCATTGTTTGCAGCCGTTTTGCCGCGGATCATGCTGCCACTGTAGTGTCCCGTCAATAAGTTCACCTCCATTCGCTTGATCATGCATCGATGCTTTTCTCATTCGATCCAGTTTTGACTTTGTTTCACGGCAGTCGGTTTTAAGGCAGTTTTCTTTTTGTCGGTGACCCTCAGCAGGTCGCTGACCAGCAAGAGGAGCTTGTGGCGGAAATTTGCCGAAAAGGCACCATATCTCAATTTTCATGAGGCATATAGAGCAAGACTGCTGCTGCTCCTGTTCTTACTTGGTGTCTTGGGGATCACGTCGTGCTGCAGTGTCAAGGTGGCATCCAAGCGACAGCCTGCCCGGAAGCAGCCCGGCCCTTCGACGACTTCGATGACGAAGCCTCAAGCAAGAAGGCTGGATAGGCTCGCGGAAAAGGAGCTCGCGCAGCACCTAATTCCAAAAAGGGAAGCAGAGATTCAGGTTGGCAGTTGTTATCTGGTGATGCAGTCCGAGGATAGTTGAACTTGGATTCCACAACGAATTACACGCAAAGCACAAGCTGCATGATCTTGGGAGCAGTAGTTCCAGGTCAGGCATATCCAGAATATCACGCCTTCCGACTCAACTCCTTCATCTTCACCCCCAACCCCCGGCGATGATCGACACTCACGGCACTAACAGGCTATTGCACTCTGCCGGCCTGCAAAAGCGCAGCAATGGGTACATGCGAAGCAATTTCTTTACCAAGGCAGGTGCATGTCATGGACGCCTGCCTTCAAGAGCTGGGCATGCGCATGACACCACATGGGCGCTGCCAAAGCGACAACCATCGAGAATAAAGCCCGAAACCAGGCCAACCCTAAGCAAGCTGCAACGCCGACGGCTACCTTGCAATTTGGAGCCGAAGCAGGGCGGGATGGCAATTTATGTCAACGACGGTTCAGTGACCTCGCCGCCGTAGTCGAGCCATGAGCTTGCCCGAGATCTCTCCAGGCGCTGATTGAGGGAGTTGGTGCTCGTAGAGGGAGGAGCGGGGGCAGTGAGGGTCGCAAATGGCGCTGACTTTACGCAGGACGAGAGAAGCCGAAGGCCACAGCAGCTTTTCTGGCACGGCTGGGAAGCTTTGCACCGAACCTAAGTGACAGGCACAGTTCCTCAAGGAGACCTACGACGTCTCCTTCGACGGAGGTGAAAAGACGCGGCCGTGTCCGGCGCTGCGCGCGTTTTTTGCTGTCTGGGCCAAGGTGAGGCCCGGGAGAACCTCAAGAAGGCCGCGGGTTTGCCCGCCCCCCGCATCCTTTGTCCGTCCGCGCGCTCTTCGCCTGGAGGTGCCGCATGGGAAGTCCCGGCGAGCCGACGCCAAGGCTGGAGCTTCTAAGCGGAAAGAGTGCCTGCAGCCTTTACTGTCCAGGCGCAGGAATGGCTCCAGGAAGAGCGTCAAAAGGCCGCAACCCCTTCTTGCAGAACTTCTCCATGTCAGCATCTTTGATCCTTGTGAATTCGCCAATTCGATTCAAGTTTCAGAGACTGTCAGGGTCTGAAGGGCCCTGTAGCTGCTGGTGGCGATGGCTTCGCTACGCATGCTGGCTTTGTTACCGCAGGGAGAGGTCCGAGAAGCATGCCCTCGTCAATGCTAGTCTCACCCATCTGGGCTGCCTGCAACACGACATCCAAGGCCAGAGGATGCACTGCTTCGAGTCCTGCTGTGCGATCGTCGCTCGGGTCTGTACTCGGTACAGACCCGAGCGACGATGCGGCAGCTCAGATGGAACGAGCGACAGTTTCGGCCGCTTGCATACTTGGAGCCTTCCTTCACTTCGTCGGGCTGGCTCCGGCTCCCTGGCGCAATTCCAGGACTATATAGGACACTTTCCAAACAATCGCACGACTGGAGACAAGATGTTCGCAAATCAGTCCTTGAAGCTTGTCGGCAGAATGCACACCCTCTTCTCGACACGTCTGCAAACCTCGCGATCTACGACATGTAGCGAAAGTGGAGCAGCTGGTCAGTGTGGAAATGAGAATGCTTGTCTTTCTCTCCAGCTAGATGGCAATTGGTTCTGTTCTTCATCAATACCGATACGCTTATCTGCTCATCCAAGACACCAGAGCTGAGAGATGGTCGGATTTTGGCTGCTATGGAGATGTCGGGCAACCTCTCCAGATAGGACGCTAGATCTGTCGCAGGCGTTTTGGTCGAGCTCGGGCGAAACGCCCATCGGGTTCGGCCGCAACAACTTGACGAGCCAGCAAAAGCCTCTCGCCTGGCATGCGCCGGGTCCTGACCTTCCACATCCCAGTTGAGCTCGAACGTGAGCCTGACTAGCAACTTTTCTGTGGGTGAGGGGTCTTCCCCGAACGTTTCCGGCTGCTCAGCGCCCAAAGCGATATGGCTGCAGGAGAGCCTCGGAAGGTATCGCGGCGTCCACTTCTACCAAACCGCGGGAAGTTCGGGGCAGATGCGGCTTTTGCGGACCAATTGGAGGTGACAGCTTTTTGCTTGAAGTTGGCACTTTCCAGACCTCCGTTTGTCATGGCCACTTCCTCCACTCGCATCCCGCTCGGTCCCGAGTTCATGGATCCGGGAGGAAGCGCGTTGAGGCGATGCCCCGTTGGATGGTGAGAAGTGGGCCTCGAACACGGCCGATACATCTCTGCAGGCAGGAGTCAACACCTTGACAAACCCAGTTTTCGAATTGTGAGCAAGAGTGGCGCCCAGAGTTTGTTCTCCGAGACTGCAACTGTCCGTCTGGCAGCCAGCGGTGGAGCTGACATCTTCGGCTTTTCGGGTCTAGACGTGCAGGTTGATGTCGGCCTGTGGCTGCACGTCGAGCTGCACAGCTCGAAACTGCGGAGTTTCAGAAGGAACGAAGGGGCCTTCAAGCATACACCCTGAGAAGTAAGATCCTTCTAAAACGGGCCCTCAAAAACAGAAGAAAGATGGAGGGCGGGCCATGGACGATTGC